AGGGGAGGGGAAAGCGGAAGGGGAAAGGCGGAAGGGGGGAGACAGGGGAGGGGAAAGGAGGAAGGGGGGAGGGACAGGGGCGGGGAAAGGGAAAAGAAAAGGAGGAAGGGGGGAGAGACAGGGAAGGGGAAGGGAAGGGGAAGGGAAAAGGAAGGGGGGAGGAAGAATGGTTGCTGTGCTTGTTGTTGATGTGGCCGTCTGTTGGTGTTAACGTCGTCCGCTGGCATCGACGTCGTCCGTTGGCGGCGTCGTCGTCTGCTGGCGTCATCGTCATCCGTTGGTGGTGTCGTCTTCGTCCGCTGGCATCGTCGTCGTCGTTCGCTGGCGGTGTCATCATCATCCATTGGTGGCGTCGTCATCATCCATTGGTGGCGTCGTCGTCTGCTGGCATCATCATCCGTCAGCGGCGTCGTCATCGTCCATTGGTGGCGTCGTCGTCTGCTGGCATCATCGTCCGTCAGCGGCGTGGTCGTCATCTGCTGGTATCGTCGACGTCGCCCGTTGGCGTCATCCGTTGGTGTTGTTGGCATCCGTTGGTGTTGTCAGCGTCCGTTGGTGTTGTTGGTGTTGTCCGCTGGCGTAATCGTCATTGGCGTTGTCGTTGGGTCCGTTGACATGGCGGTGTGTGTCGTTGTTGGCGTGGGCGTCGGTTGACGTGGTGGGCGCTCGCGCCGTTTCATTGTTGTGGGCGGTTGTCACTGTTCGCCGTGGCGTTGTCGTGTGCTGGTGGTGGTGGTTTGGAGAAAGGAAGCCACGTCACACGTTGTGACAATGGCATTTTGTTTGTACTCCCACGTGAGATCACATGAATATCTCACGTGTGGGATTTTTCATCTATGCCATGGAATTCCGCCAGACGGTCCACGGATTTGGCAAAAATTTCACGGAATCCAGTGGGACTCAATAGGGACTGACAAGACATAATAATAAAAATACTATTCCCTGTATATTCCGTGCACAGTCCCACAAAATGCAAAATTCCGTGAGGACTTTACTCTCCCCCACAGATTCCATGTGGACTCCAGATGGACTCCATGGATCCACCTGGAGTCCAGGTGGATTTTAGACAATTTTTTTTTGGTGGTAACCCAGCCAATTTTTCGTCTAGAATCCATCTGGATTCCAGGTGGAGTCCAGTTGGAGTCCAGTTGCTCCATGTGGACAACATGGACTCCAACATGGACTCCACCTCAGAACACAGGGTTATATTAATTCACCCAGTGAGACTCCAGCTGGAATCCATATGGATTAATAGCCTTTAATTGTACTACATTATTTATTATATATAAAAATAAAACTGCATCAAGAAGAATTGAACACTCAAGCTCACGGAACATAGTGGCCAAAACAACCACACAATTAACCATTGAACTTAGATATATAGTGCAAACTAGCACTATATATCGCCCCCGAGGCTCGGCACGTTCCGCACACTTGAACACACATGCTGTTTGTTTGGTTATCATTTGCACATCTTGTTCCTCGACCACCACAATCCCTCACGACGACTCCCCCTGGCTCGCCACATCGCCCACGGCCGACACCACCCACTATCGTTGACGGCGACAACGCGAGCATGGCCACAACAACCACCAGCACGACGACGACATCCACCACCACCACGACAACTACAACCCCAGGACGACCACGACAACGCCCAGGGACAGCGACGACGACGATTGCCCAACGTGTCGACGCCACGTCACCACCCCAACTACTGAACGAGCGCCGGCGGACGCAGACGATGACGTGGCACGTCAGCAGACGATGCACGCCATCGTCACCATCCGCCGTATGCAGGTGAGTAGCCAGCCCCACTTCCCTCCCGCTTTCCTCCTTTCACACCCAATCCAGGGGCCATGTCGCCGTCGGCGACGGGGCAATCATTCACGGCCGCCCCAAAAACAGCCACCCCCCACTCCCTAGTGACCACGACGCCCACAGACAACGCATACGACCACCATGACAACCCCAGCTGTCCACGACGCGTCCACGCCCAGAGCGCCCACGTACGAAAATGAGCGCCCGCGTACAAAGACAAGCACCCATGCCACGTACAATGCCTCTACGTCCACGACGCGAACGACTGCCCATGCACGACGAACACGACCACGACCACATCCACCGCCCACACACGAAAACGAGCGCCCATGGACCGGACGACCACATCCACTGCCCACACACGAAAACGAGTGCCCACGAACCACTTGCGTACGAAGTAGACCGCCCGCGTGAGTACCCCCTCCACCCATCACTCCAATCCACTCCCTTCCCCCCCTCTCCATCATTCCCTTCCCCTCTCTCTCCTCCATCACTCCCTTCCCTTCCCTACCTCCTCCATCACTCTCCTCCCTCCTCCCTCCTCCCTCCTCCCTCCTCCCTCCTCCCTCCTCCCTCCTCCCTCCTCCCTCCTCCCTCCATGTTCTGCTCCCTCCTTCATCCTCTCCATACCACTTGCCCCCCCCCTCTCCACCACTTTCCACCACTCTCCACCCCTTTCTTTAACATTCAAAGTAGTACAATACATCTGTGTAGTTCTATTCAAGAAATATATTTGAGTTTTCCTTGTTCATATAGAAATGTCATCCAGGAATTGTTAGGTCTGAGTTCACTTAAGTCACATGACATCTGGCTACAAGTGGGATTTTCCATAATTTGTACAAGGCCAAGTCCATGTTGAAACTGTCATCAAATCCATCTGGAGGCCACTTGGATTCCAGGTGGAGTCCATGTGGAGTCCAGATGGATTTTCAACAAAGTTCTAGGGTGAGGTCTTTTCTGGATGGAGTCCACATGGAATCCGTGGGGGAGGGTAAAGTACTGAATTCCGTGATCAGTCCCACGGAATTCCGGGACTGAGGTGGGATTCCGGGCGGAATTACTGGGGGAGAGTAAAGACCTCCCATTCCTGTGGATTCCTGTGGATTCCTGTCCCATTCCTGTGGATTCCTGTGGATTCCTGTCCCATTCCTGCGGACTCCTGTGGATTCCTGTGGATTCCTGCAGGAATGGGTGGGGCACTATAAAGTACTGAATATATTTGGAGTCCATTCCAGTGAGGAAATATATTTTGGGGTGTGTGATATACTAGAAATATATTTAGTGTGACATTGGACAACAAAATATATTTAGGTAAAAGTGGAGATATACAAGCCCCGGAATATATACAATATAGATATACACCCTGACATTTAGTCCCATAGTATTCATGGAGTTTGCAAGACTAATAGTCAGTTGTCATTGGGTGACTGAAGTGAGTTGGCAGCAGAATGTGCAGGTCCTGAGATAGCATTGGCATCAGCATTGTGGGCCAACTTTTTCACCCACTGCCATGATGCTAAGATGGTTCTTAAACGTTGGCCTTGCAATGAACCCATCCCTGAGGCAAAGGGATGGTCGATTACTGACATATCTTCAAATGGAATCAATCTGATTTTCACATACATGATTAGCAAGGATGAGAATAACAAGCTGGCCCCTCAAATTGTCTCGTGGTCAGATGGTGAGTTTTACTTGTTATGTTCATGAGGCATGTTCTAAAGGATTGGGGTTTAGATTACATGGACTTGGTGGAGGGGAGTGAGGATTTCTTGGACATACCAATCATTACTGGCGTATCCAAATCAGGGGTGCTCGTGGTCCTCACCTGTGTCAAAAACTGCATGCCTGAGGTGGAGAATGCTGCTTGTCAAAATGATGGAGGCAGTGACTGCCCTCCACTACTCCATTGATACGGATGAAACCATTTCACCCGTATAAAATTCGATTTTAACAATTTTACCGATAAAGGTCGTCTCTAATAAATACACTACATACAATTGCAATGATACAAAGAGTCAATGTGCATACCCGGCGCAGTTGACTAAAAATGCAAATGTGTGGAATCTGAAAATAGGACGAAGGCCTTGGAACTGGCAGCAGTACGCGTCGTGACATTATACTTGGATCCTATCTAAGATTCACCTACCATGAAATAGAGCACAAAGAGGTTCTAGAGTAAATACCCAATGTAGGGAGAAGAATTGCATTACTACTAAAGGGTTTAGAAACACATAATGGATTTATTGTGAAAAACTCGTGTTTATACAAGAAATACAGAAAAGACGACTTAGATGCCTAAACAGCATGTCTGAAACATTGAAAGACTAAACCACGTCTAGACAGTAAACATATGAAGACTCAGCGTGGCTCACGGCCATTCAGAAAGTCATGTACGGCAGTTCCCGCGTACGCATCAAAGACTGATGCGTCTGAACATCACAAGTACAAACATAAGAAAAAGACACATTCTTTTATATGAAATATAATAAGAACCCCCTGACAATTAAGAAAGACATTTGAAAACACCTTCGGAGTGTCTACCGATCTCCGTAATGAAAAGACAAGCCAAGACAAGGCATTTTAATTAAAAACTCGGGAACAACAGAAGACCGAAGACTATTGGTAAACGCGTACGCATGCGCATCAACGCATCAGGAAACGTTAATCATTTTGTGATGTCATCTGTCAAACCGGTAAACCGGGCCATAGAAAGAAACATGCGAGATCATGCCAAGCTAAGAATAGCTACGTTGGCTAACTCCACGTACGCATCAAACACTGATGCATTTGAAAAATGAAAGACGCGACACTACAAAATCTGTAGTGTTCACAAGAGAAAGACTACAAAATATACCACACGTTCATTAAATTTCATATTTGTAATTCGGACCGAAGTATCCCACATTAAAAACACATGTAAAACATAGATAGGGGTTCCTGGAGTATATAAGGAGCGCGCTGGCAGGTCAAACGGCAAGCAATTGCCCCCTGTTGACCAGCTAGTTGCACTCCAAGTAGAGACTTAGGAGGTGGATAGTTGTAATCAATTAAAAGGAGATTTCTTCGTGGTCAGATAAGTACAGTGTGAACAAAGCCAGCGTGCTTGGGAGTCAACTTACTTGGAGACTTTGAATAAGAGGTTTTAAGGACACAGTATCATTTTAGACGAGACAGCATACTCGTACACTTGGTTTTGGAGCGTAGTGACATAATAAAAACTCACGGGAGTCATAAAAGTCAATTAAAGTCGTGTTTTGTGTTAATAAAAGAAACTGTGATCAAAGAACTTTGCATTTAAGAAACCAAGTTCCCAGAAAGACATATTTTGTTCTATTGAACTATTCTAAACCACACCTTATAATAAAAACCCAATTTTGAACAAAAACTCTTGAGACTTAAACCTAAGAAGACAAAAGTGGTATTTCTTAATACCAAAGGCCCTCAAACTCTTGCACCGAGATTGTGATAGTGTGTGTGTGTGTGTGTGAGTGAGTGTTAGGTGTTTAGGGTTTTCCCCCCGACGTGCTTGATCCTTGTTTGCGTGTTATGCACTTTCACGTTCATCCCCAGGCAAAGCATATCACCATGCCAGAGCACATAGCCTGATGATCAATGAGAACACCTTGAAAGTAAACAAAAAGAAGAAGGCAGCCACGACCTCCACACAAGTTGGCCAGCAGAAGTGCAAATCACGTGAGGAGCCCAAGCTTTCAGGAGCAGGGGTCAAGGTGGAAAAAGTACCATCTTCTGATGAGGAATCTCATGACAGCTCTTGCACTCCTGTTATCTCCCCCATTCATTTGCCTCCAGCCAAACATGTCCGTCGCCAGGAGTTGGTAGGCCAAGAGGTTGATTTGGGTTCACAGCCAGTGCAATACTTTACCCTCCCCGGGTTATTCCATGTGGAATCCATGGAATGGGGGGTGGACTGCAGAAATATGGAATGGGGGGATGGATTCCATACTTTATTCCATATGTCCTATACCATTTTTAGGGTGGAATCCATATGGACTCCATATGGAATCCACATGGAATGACTTTATGGAATAATTCCTAAGTCCACATTATGGAATCATGGTTTCTTTACTCCATGGTCATAGCTGAGCAGAAAAAATTGAAATGTATTGAATAGACTACACAATTTATTTTTACTACTTTCAATATTTAAGGGAGGAGGAAGACAGGGGAAGTGATGGAGGGGGGAGGGTGTAGGGAGTGATGGAGGAGAGAGGGAGTGATGAAGGGAGGGGTGGGAATGGATGGAAGGGGAGTAATGGGAGGGGGAGTGATGAAGGGGGGGAGAAATGGGAGGGGGAGTGATGAAGGGGGGGAGAGATGGGAGGGAGAGCAACAGAGGGAGGGGTAGCAACAGAGGGAGGGGGAGCAACAGAGGGAGGGGGAGCAACAGATGGAGGGGGGGCTCGGTTGCCATTGGGCGGTCGTGTCATGGGTGGTCGCATCGTGTTTGTGGGTGGTCGCGTTGTGTTCATGTCTTCGCGTCGTGTTCGTGTCGTCTGCGTGGGTGGTCGTGTCGTCTGCGTGGGCGGTCGTGTCGTCTTTGTGTCGTGACATCGTCTTTGTGTTGTCACGTTGTCTGCATGGGCGGTCATGTTGTCTGTGTGGGTGGTCGTGTTGTCTGCGTGGGCGGTCGTTGACGTCCGTGGACGGTCATTGACATCGGTGTGGTGTGGTGGTGTGCCGTTCGTGGTGGTGCATCTGCCACGTCACGACGTGGGACCTGTGCTTTGGGGTCAGCAAGGTCAATGGGTGGGTGGGGTGGTTTGTTAGCGGGTGGAATAAAATGACGGACAACGACGAATGTCGTCGTCCGTCATCTGGTTGCCACGCTGCTGGCTTACCTGGCCTTCCGCTCGCCTTCGTTCCCACCCATCCGTGGTCGTTGTCGGCTTCGTTGTTGTTGTTATCGCCAGCGTCATTGTCGTTGTTGTTGATGTCGTTGTTGTCATCGTTGTTGTTGTTGTCGGCGTTGTTGTTGTTGTTGTCGCAGGCGGTCGTGGTTTGAGATGGTGGGATGGATGGTGGTAGTGATGGTGAAAGGAAGAAGCGACGTGGCAACGCGACAGCCATAGCTGTCACGTTTGAGACGCCACGTGACTGACGACGCTATATATGGACCTTTAGTTTACCTTATAACAAAGCCACTGTGGCTCAGGTGGTTACAACGCTGCTTCCATTCACGACCTTGTGGGTTCAATTCTCTCAGGTGCAAAATTTATTTTTTACTTAAATATAGTAAGGACACTATATCTATATGTATTCTAATGGTATAATGGTCATTAATTCCTTCCATGGAATCCATATGAACTGCTCCATGGAATCCATATGGAGTCCATATGGAATGAATCATTCCATGACCATTCCAGGATCATTCCATATGGAATCTACCATGTCCATGGAATCAGAAATTGGCTGGGTCCTCAGCCAACATTGATTCCATGGATTCCATATGGATTCCATATGGAATAACCCAGGGAAGGTAAAGACCTCTTGAGGACCATGTATGCATTTTTGCCAGTCCACTTCTTCAGGTCCTTCGACGCTTCCTTTGCTGAGAACATCGCAATGTTGAATGTACATTTCTTTGTTGATTCGCCATCCCGTTCGTCTCCAGTGCCTGTAGGTTTATCCTCTGAAGCAACGCCAGCTCAGACAAGTTGGAGATACAGGGGTGTGTACTTGTGTTCCTGTTGGTCCCTCTAGTAGCACCAGTTTTCTTCTTGCCTTTTGATTTCATCTTCCCTGAGAGGATTTGGTCGAAAACTTCTTCTAAATGATTATTGGGACCATCGTTTTCGCTGCCAGATGAACTTGAGGATGATAGCAACGAGATTTCACTGGAGATGCCCTGCCCAGCGCCCTCATTTTCATCTGAGGAATCGACAATGGCATGGCTGGTGATGTGCTGGACCATTAGAACAACCGTAGAGAGTGGTAGAACATATATGCGACAAGGGAAGATGGAGGAAGCGGTCAAGAGCTTGATTAGCTCATCTGAAAACTCAATTTTCTAAGTCCGTAAAAATGATGTAATGTATTTCGAAACGCCAACTGTCATGAATTATGCAAAATGCTGTAATTATCAAGGAGGTGCCTTGTGTCGAGTACATGAACATGAGTTTGGCAATCGCTGTCATGTCAGAGATTGCACAGAGACCTTGGTTCGCCCCACAAAGGCCTGTGCAGCTCATAAAAGTGTTTGGAATAAATAAATACCTGCTGGATCACTCAGCTGCAAGTTTGGCAGGATCAAAAAGAATGTTGAACTGTCAGGAAGAACATCTAGAGTGGAATCCTAGGTCTGAGCATGAAGTTCAGCCACATGATCAGCCAGCTCCAGAACCCAAAAAATTAAAGCACTTTTTTGGTCCTGTGACATTTTATTGTGTTGAAACATGGGCAAAATTTGCCAAATCAGAGTCAGAGTCAAACATTCTGGCCTTTATGCAGAAGGTTTATCCTACAAAGGAATCATGTCCAGATTATATCTGCATTGATAAAGCTTGTAAAGTGCTTAAACATATGGCTGCACAAGGTCACTGGGGTGAGTGGTCAGAAACAACATGATTGATAGTTGATACTTTCCACTCTGAGAAACATTGGAAAGGAGATGTTCTTTGTCAAACATGGTGTAATCCAGCTCCCACAGATGGGTCTGCTCCAAATTTAGTTATAAAATCCATAGCTTCTGATGGATCAACCTATGACAAACAAGCATTTAATACTCAGGTAAACCTACTTTGAATCTTTGTAATATTGATAAACTAATGAACCAATAATAGGCCTGTGAACAACTCAATGCATGGCTTGGAGGTTTTGAATCAGTCCTCAAGAGAATGACACCTCAAAACTACAACTGGTTTATTCACACAATGCTTTCTTATCACACCAGAAAGGTTATTGCCCACCAAAGTGAAAAATGCAGCTAAAGCGATGCAGGAAGAGGAAGGTGATGATACTGAAGATGATGAAGCTGAGTAAACAAAAGATGTATATAAACTCTACTTCACATGTTTCAAATCCCACTATTGATTTGTTAAATGTCCACTGAATATATTGTTTTTTCAGATTTATTTACAAGAAGTATGGACTGAACACTTAGCATTCTCTTGTACCTTTTTTGCTTAGAAATCCATCAGAAGTCCATTGGAAGTCCAGTGGAAGTCCAGCAGACTGAGAACTTAGCAATTATGATGGTTTCTGCCTCTGTCCGTTGGAAATCTGACAGAAGTCCAGCAGACATCCAACGGACACAAATTCCAGCCAGTCCAACCATTTCTTGCTTCTAAGTAGTTTGAGTGGACTTTCACTGGACTTTGCCTGGACAGGCAGCAGAATCCAGTCATGTCCAATGGACTCTGACGGTCTTCTGATGGACTGTCCATTGGGTCCATCAGAAATGGCAGGGTCTGATGAAAGTCTGTTCGAGTCCATTGGACAAGCAGTGGGAGTGTAAGGTACTGATATAACTGATTATTTTTGTAGAGGGTCATGTTTTTGTGCAATCAAACCTGTCTGGCACTTGGCAGTGGAATTTATTAGGTCGCTATGAGCATGCTTTGGCAGATAATGAAAGTCTTGAATCCAATGAAAGTGACAAATGTCACATTCTATTTGTAAGTTTCATTATTATCATCTTTTCTTTGCATTTTCTTAATTTCTTTCATTATTTGTCAAGTGTCTTCCAATCAGCTATCCCTTTTCTACAGGTTCTTCTTACCCCCCCTTCGACTCATGTTTCTGGTCCATCATCTCACTATGCTTTATCTGAATCTCGGTCTGAGTCTATGTCTCATTATGCATTTTACGAGTCTCATTCTCATTCTCATCCTGATACTCTGATGGATGTCTCTGTACCATCTGGCTCTAAACATAGTATCGATGAGAATCTGCTTGGTAGACTCAAAACAGCTGGGCTGACAATCAATGAGTCACTTTGCTATGATACAAACCCCACTCTCCAAGTTATGTATCGACACTACACCCACATCTTTGAGCTTCAGGGACAAATCAATGATATGGTTGCTGAACACAAATGGCAGACTAAGTTTGGAAAGTATTCAAACAAAACTGAAGTTATTGGGCTTTTTGTGGCAAAGACAACCTGGCATGATTCCTATGCCAAAGTCTTCCCAATGGTGGAGGGTTATGAACACATGGTAGCCTGGTTGGAGGGTGATCCTGATGCCAAATCAGATCTTGATCTTTGAGGTGTGACAAAGTCTAAATACTCTATCATGGACTTGGTAGAATGGCTCAAGAAGCGGAAAGGCAAGAAAGTAGGCAAGTCAGTGATGAAATCCACTGCCAGATCTGCAAAGGGTCTAAAGGAGAAGGTGTGGAAGTGTGTCATGTTCTGTTCATGACACCTTCGTTATTTTGACCTTGGATCGTTGTTTTATATTTTCTCTTTTTTTATTTATTTACTGTTCATCCTGAGCACGTTACTAAAGAGTTGAGAATTGGCGCAGAGTTTTCTTTTGTTAGGACACCTTCAAAATCGCCAGTGGCGGTGCAAACACTCAGAAAGAATGATTTCTCATGCCTCTTCGATGCCCACGCCGCATGACTTTGAAGGAATTGGACTTGGGATTTTTTTTATTTGGTTCGTTCGTGTTTAGTCTTTTCACAATTTAATTGTTTTCTTTGTATTTTTATTTACAACAGATCCTTACCTTCTCGAAGCTTGACTGGACGGCTGGACAGTAGGGTAGAGCATTGATGCAAGGGATGTCTGCACTGAGGGCAGCAGTGAGGCACGTCAATAGACCTCTCCCTTCATCGTACGTTCCCCGAGTAATTCCCAGTCCGAAGGGATAGTCGAGAGAGGGCAAAGGTGAAGTTAACTTTTTATAGTTTCGGTTCATTGTTTATTTTTAGAACCTTCTTTTATCTTGGTCGGGCAGCACACGAGTACGTGCGATGCCTTGTGATTCTACGATTTGTATAAAAGACGCCTTCGGGTTTTCAAATGAACACTTTCTTTTCCCCCTCCTTTGATTTCTTTCTAAGAACCTGAAGAATTTAAGTTTTTCTCCTACCGGCGTACCATAGCCTTCCTCTCAAGTCGACCTTTCTACGTTATCAAGAACTTCATCAAGAAACGAGCCCTCACGCATACAAGAACTCTTGTTGCGCATATAGTCGGCAAGGGTTACATTCCCTTTTCGACGTGTATAGCCTCCTTGACAGCGTGTAATCGCATGCTTAGATGCTGAGTGCCTCTTTCATCGTTCCTTTGTCCCTTTCCTCTCACTCCTTTCTTTCCCCCCCTTCTTTTGGTAGACAACCGGTTTCCATTTCTCGCTGTTGAACTTTCGTTCTTCCACAAAGGAAAAGACTCAAGGGTCTGGGTCTGGGGCTGGGGTTGGCAAAGGAAATCAGAAAGGAGTGAAGCAGAAAGACAGTACTTTACACTCCCACTGCTTGTCCAATGGAATCCGACGGACTTTCATCGGACCCTGCCATTTCCGATGGACCCAGCAGACAGTCCGTCAGAAGACTGTTGGAGTTTGTTGGACATGACTGGATTCTGCTGCTAGTCCAGGCAAAGTCCAGTGAAAGTCCACTCAAACTACTTAGAAGCAAGAAATGGTTGGACTGGCCAGAATTCTGTGTCCATTGGACGTCTGCTGGACTTCCGTCAGATTTCCAATGGACAGAGGCAGAAACTATCATAATTGCTAAGTTCTCAGTCTGCTGGACTTCCACTGGACTTCTGATGGACTTTTGATGGATTTCTAAGCAAAAAAGGTACAAGAGAATGCTAAGTGTTCAGTCTATACTTCTTATAAATAAATCTGAAAAAAGGCTCAGTATGACTTGCCAGATACATTCGGTGGACATTTAATAAATCAATAGTGGGATTTGAAACTTGTCAAGTAGAGTTATATACATCTTTTGCTTACTCAGCTTCATCATTGTCAGTATCACCACCTTCCTCTTCCTGCATCCCTTTAGCTGCTTTTTTGGCTTGGCAAGCAATAACCTTTCTAGTGTGATAAGAAAGCATTGTGTGAATAAACCAGTTATAGTTTTGGGGTATCATTCTCTTGAGGATTGATTTCAAAACCTCCCAGCCATGCATTGAGTTGTTCACAGGCCTATTATTAGTTCATTAGTTTATCAATATTACAAAGATTCAAATTAGGTTTACCTGAGTATTAAATGCTCATTTGTCATAGGTTGATCCATCAGAAGCTATGGCTTTTATAACTAAATTTGGAGCAGACCCATCTGTGGGAGCTGGATTACACCATGTTCGACAAAGAATGTCTTCTTTCCAATGTTTCTCATAGTGGAAAGTATCAACTATCAATCGTGTTGTTTCTGACCACTCATCCCAGTGACCTTGTGCAGCCATATGTTTAAGCACTTTACAAGCTTTATCAATGCAGATATAATCTGGACGTGATTCCTTTGTAGGATAAGCCTTCTTCATAAAGGACAGAATGGTGACTCTGACTCTGATTTGGCAAATTTTGCCCATGCTTCAACAACACCACATGGATAACAAATTGTTTCAACACAATAAAATGTCGCAGGACCAAAAAAGTGCTTTAATTTTTTGGGTTCTGGAGCTGGCTGATCATGTGGCTGAACTTCATGCTCAGATCTAGGATTCCACTCTAGATTTTCTTGCTGACGGTTCAACATTCTTTTTGATCCTGCCAAACTTGCAGCTGAGTGATCCAGCAGGTATTTATTCCAAACACTTTGATGAGCTGCACAGGCCTTTGTGGGGCAAACCAAGGTTTCTGTGCAATCTCTAACACGACAGTGATTGCCAAACTCATGTTCATGTACTCGACACAAGGCACCTCCTCGATAATTAAGTAGATCACCAATGCAACCATCAGCAGCACAATGCTTTGTGCCATTAACCATTCCATCAATTACTCTCATGGTTACATTCCGCATCTGAACTGTGTACTGTGCAGAAGTGGAAGGATCATTATTTGGGTTCACAACCACATCTGATGTTGCTCGATATGGTTGTGAACACTCAGCACATGTGACCTTTAGCTGGTTGAATTAAACCAAAAGCTGCAAAAGCTTCTTCTGTTACTTCCTCTATTGATGATACATCTCGAGTGACAAAATTAACCCCTGATATTTCAGATGCTTGCCGGATAGATTCCTGCATGAAAGCAGCCCACACCTGGCGGCAAGACAGTGTGATACAGTCATTGCCATAAGTGTCATTGAAATAATTTGCCCAGCCACATGTAGATGCATGAAGGTGATATGTTCCATTTATCACTGAAGTTGAAAACTTGCAGTCAACCCAAAGCTTCTGGCCAACTTTAATATACAATGCAGAGTTCAGATATAGTTGCATAACTTCAGTATCTGCTGTCAAAGCTGTACATTCATGATCTGCATAATAAATAGTTTCACAGTTGTTACAGTATCCAGAAAGCAACTGAACATTTTTAAAGACCTCTGTGCCTTTGATCAAAGTCACTCTTTGAATATGGCATGTTTGTGTATTCTCTTTCAAAAAACATCGTCCACAGCCTGCAGTCAAACAGATAGATGAGTTTGGGCAAATCAACAGTGCTGGTTGAATAGAACTGTGTGATATATGTTGCAAAGTACCAGTGAATTTTTGTTTATTGTTATATGGGTAAAGGCCCAATAAATGTGAGAATTCAACAAGTTTCACAGCCAATGATGAAACATTATTCTCTCTGGCAGTTGCATTTTTAAACATGGATAGCTCATTTTCTGAGAATAGAGTGTCTGCATCATTGTCGCCAAGTTGTTCAATAATTGCACGTGCTAGACATTTAATCCATGATGTTGCATTAGATCCAGGACTTTGTTTGAAATGAAGAGAGAGAAGCTCTGTATTGTTGGTCATTGACAGCAACATCATCATAACTGTTGGCAGAGATATTTTATCTCCAAAGTTGTTGATAATGAATTCACTAAAGTCTTGAAAGCCTATGTCTGGGAAAGGAGCAGACTGTGGGCTTGCTAAGGCATGTGGAATCAAGAATGCCATCCACAAAAGCAGAGATAACTGAGAACTAAATGCAGTGCAAGCAATCATAAAGACCAAACTACTCAAGTTGCCAGCAAGACCATCCAGATAATAGCAAAGAACAAGCAGGACCAAAAGATTCAAACTACTGTACAAAAGAAATTCATGAGATATAGCCAGATGATAGTACAAAGATTTGAGCTGTCAAAGTTAGCATACTTACTACTTGCGCTTGGAACTTCCACTCTTGGAAGTGGCCACCTTCTTAGCAGATCCGGCAGGCTTCTTCGAGGTAGACGATTTCTTCGATGTGCCTGCAGATGCCTCCTTTGCTGCACCTTTCTTCGGCTTGATCAATGATCCCCCATTCTGCACCCATGCAAGCAACTCTGCAAAATGATACGCCTTCATCTTCACCCCAAACAACTCTTCAGTCTCCATACTGTCCTCATCATTACTCAACCATTTTACCATTTCTGGATACTCTGCAATGTGAGGAAAAATCTTGGTCCAATAATCATGCCAGGTCGATTTGCCGATGAAGAGGTTTGGAATCTCTCTACCGACAGGCAGTCTAAGCTCTGCAGGCCAAGTTCCATCCTTCTGCATCTTCTTGAATTTCTTCTCAGCCTCAAGAAGAGCAAGATAGCGAGTGTAATGTTCCTGAAGTTTAAGTGCATTACCAGCACGACGCAAAGCCACTGGAATCTCAAGAGCATCAGCCATTATAGTCTGCTCTTGGGTAAAGTGAACCCGAACACCCTGAGGCGGGCCAGCCATGACCGGAACAAGTTGGCTAGTAGTAGCAGCAGCAGCAACAGGAAGACCAGGACTAGCAGCTGAGGCAACAACGATAGTAGATGAGAGACTTGGTAAAGTGAAGTTGCTCTGTGGTATCATTGAATTACCCATCAAAAAGTGTAAGAAAAAAATTACCAAAAGAATCTGAAGGATTGGCTTGTTGTTTTCTGTGTGCCAAGTGATCTCTTCATCTCCCTCAACTGATGTAATCTCTTCAAAAGAGCCCAAAAGAGTCCAGACAATGTCATGAACAAAAATGGTGTATTCTATTCCAAAGAAGTCAGCATATGTCTATGAATTAAGATAAGACAACTTACCAGGATTCTTGATGGTAGGCCACTTTTTTCCAAGAGCATTGAAGAGAGGTTTAGACATATGACAGATCGCCAGCATTTTTTGAAAGGATGGAGGGGTTTCAGTAGGCACAATAGTAGATGGGTCACTGCTCAAAATATAAACCATGATCTTGCCTTTCTGTTGTAATGCAGACAGATCGACCAAGGGTTCATCACCAAAGCCATAGGTATTTCCAACAGCATTGCCACGTGCAAATCCACCTGGAGATTAAATTTATAAAAAATGGCAGACAGATACAATTAAACTGACCAATTGTCTTGCTAGCACCTTGAAGGTCATCAAGAGTAACAGCCATTTCTAAAATTAATAAACAGATCAGAAAATTTAAAATCCTAGCTTAAATCACTCTACTCACCCTCTAAAGTAGTTACTTCAATGGTGTTTACCATTGCAGCAGTTGCAACAGAGACAGTTGTCTTTGCCACAGTTCCAACCTTGTTGACGTCCACCATCTCAACATCTTGATCAACACCTGCATCTTTGACTTTGCCTGCATCCTCCTCAACTTTTTCCACATCGTCACCTGACTCCTTGTCCTTCTCCCCCTCAACTTCATCATCATCTCCACCCTCCTCTTCACCCTCATCCTCACCCTCCTCTTCACCATCTTCGCCACCCTCATCTTCACCCTCATCTTCGCCATCTTCTTCACCCTCATCTTCGCCATCATCCTGACCCTTTAGCTCATCCTGATCACCACTCTCACTCCCACTCCCACTCACTTCTCCAATATTCGCCATGTCTCTTCCCTTGCCTTTGTCCTTCACCTCGTCATCTGTCATACCCTCTTCAGCAGACAACTGAGGTCTTTACCTTCCCTGGGTTAATCCATATGGAATCCATCACCAATTCCATGTGGAATCCATGGAATGAATCTTGGCTGAGACCACAGCCAATTTGTTGTTCCATGGACATCATGGATTCCATGTGGAATGATCATGGAATGGTCAATTCCATATGGAATCCATTGCCATTCCACCTGGATTCCACTGAATTCCATATGGAACTTAGGCATATCCACCATGGATTCCATGGAACAAGTCCATATGGATTCCATGGAGCAGTTCATATGGATTCCATGGAAGGAATTAATGACCATTATACCATTAGAATACATATAGATATAGTATTTATAGTGTCCTTACTATATTTAAGTAAAAATAAAAATTTTGCATCTCAGAGAATTGAACCCACAATGTCATGAATAGAAGCAGCACTCTAACCACCTGAGCCACACCGGCTTTGTTACAAGGTAAACTAAAGGTCTGTATATAGCGTCATTTGTCACATGGCATCTCAAACATGACAGTTATGGCTGTCGCGTTGCCACGTCGCTTCTTTCTTTCACCACCACCACCACTTCAGTCACCCATTTTAGGGTACCCCCGAGGTATATGAATTCTTTGATTTAAGGGTACCTCAAGGGTACCCATTCCAGGGTGGTATGTGAGCACCATACCAATACCATGGTACCATGGAATGGAAAACCCATACCATATCCCACTCATACCAATACCAAGTTACCATACCATACCATGTCATGTTATACCATACCAGATGGTATGATATCACTTCATATACCATCATACCAAAGCTGTCACGGGGTGTCTGGGGTCCTTTTCCAAAATATATAAATTATTTCTGCAGGCTGCAATACTGGTCCATTGGGTGCCATTTTTTGTGGGGGGGTTCTCCAGGTTTATCCTGAGATTTTAGGCTACAAATGGAGGCCAAGTAGTCCAATCCATTCATTGAATATCAGTTCAAATGACCTTTATCCCAGCTTNTCCCATGCCACCAAAGCCATT